GCTGAGGCTGCGCTCTGGAGCCCGTGCTCCACAGCAGGAGAGGCCACTGCAGTGAGAGGCCCGTGCGCCGCAGCAAAGAGTGGCCCCCGCTCGCCACAACTAGAGAAAAAGCCGGGTGTGACAACAAAGACCCAACGCAGCCAAAAATAAAAGAAATATTTTTTTAAAAAAAAGTAAACTTCCAGGCCCAAGATGGATTTGCTCTTACCCAGGGTGCCACATCAGGAAACAAAACTTAGATAAGCTTCCTGTTCCTAACAACCTTAGTCAGAAATAGTTAGCCAATTCCCCAATGCCAAGCCAACTCTGGGTCTTCTCACCCCAAAGTGGACTGTGACACCCCAGCCAACCAGATATTTTCTATGTTCTCCTTCCTTGTTCTTTATTCTTTGTCCTATAAAAGCTTCTTTCCTTCCACCCCATTTTGCCATTCTCCACAAGGAGACTGTCCATTTCATGAAAGTGTTAAAAAAAAGTTTATTTCACCTAAATTGTCTTCTTTAATCATTTTTTAACACCGAGCAGCCCACTGTCGGAATCTTGCAATAAACAAGAACTTGCAGCAATGAACACTTAGGCTCCTTGAAGTTCTAAATTTCTGGGGGTTACTGATGTTCACAATGAGGGCCTCAGAAATTTTATGATATTGAGTCCCACTCCACCACAGAAAACGATTTCATAGTTCTGTATCCTGATGGTGGTGATGGTTCCATGAATCCATAGATGTGAGACAATGCAGGGAACCACACACACACACACACACACACATACACACACACACACACCACAAATGACTGCATGTGAAAACCAGGAAATGTAACCTAAAAGTTAAAAGAATTGTACCAATGTCAATTTCCTACTTTGATATTGTATATAGCAGTGATTCTCAAGCCACTGGTGACAGGTGACAACGTCTAGAGACATGTTTAGTCGTCACAACTTGGAGGAGGGTGCTACCAGCATCCAGTGGGTCAAGGCCAGGGATGCTACTAAACATCCTACAATGCACAAGACAGCCTTCGCCCTGAGAAACACGCACGCACACACACACGCACACACACACACACACACACACACACACACACACACACAATTGACCCCAAAATGTCAATACTGCCGAGGTTAAGAAATCCTGTACTGTAGTCCTAAAAGATGTTGTCATTGGGGGAAGCTGGGGAAAGGGGACTTGCAAACTCTTTGCTCCATTTTTGCAACTTCTGGGAATCCCCTGGTGGTCCAGTGGTTAGGACTCAGCACTTTCACTGCCAGGGGTTTAATCCCTGGTTGGGGAATTAAGATCCTGCAAGCTGTGGCATGGCCACAGGGAAAAAATAAAAAGAACCCATTTTTGCAATTTCTTATGAGTCTTAAACTCTTTCAAGATAAACTGTATTTTAAGATCCCAAATTAAAATGAAGGCAGGGGGTCTAGTTCTTTAAAAACACGTTTACAAGAAAGAGTATACAGCAGCGGTCCCCAACCTTTTTGGCATCAGGGACCAGTTTCATGGAAGACAATTCTTCCACAGATGGGGGGTGGGGGGATGGTTTTGGGATGATTCAAGCGCATTACATTTATTGTGCACTTTATTTCTATTATTATTACATTGTAATATATAATGAAATAATTATACAACTCACCATAACGCAGAATCAGTGGGAGCCAGGAGCTTGTTTTCACTTGCTACTCACTGATAGGGTTTTGGTACGAATCTGCAAGCAATTGATTATTATGGTCTCTGTGCGGTCAAACTTCTCTGCTAATGATACCTGCAGCCGCTCCCCTAGCATCACCGCCTCAGCTCCACCTCAGATCATCAGGCGTTACATTCTCATAAGGAGTGCGCAACCTAGATCCCTCGCATGCGCAGTTCACAGCAGGGTTCGCGCTCCTATGAGAATCTAACGCCGCCACTGATCTGACAGGAGGCGGAGCTCAGGCGGTAATGTGAGCGATGGGGAGCGGCTGTAAATACAGATGGAGCTTCTCTCGATCTCCCGCCACTCACCTCCTGCTATGCCACCTGGCTCCTAACAGGCCACAGACCAGTACTGGGGACCCCTGGTATACAGGATCCCTCTACACTATTTCTGCAATTTCCTGTGAGTCTATAATTACTTCCAAATAAAAACTTAAAAAAAAATGTAAGATTCCAGTGTAATCAGCACATCAGGGCTCTAACTCTCCGGAATCTGTCAGCCACTCGTGGAAGAATGCAATGCTCTCAATTAACCAAAGGATTCAGCTGTCCAAGCCACTTCCAGGGGAATGTCAGCCCATGGCATCCATTGCACATTTCTGTGGTAGCGTGAAAGCAGTCAAGGGGCAAAGTCAAACTCACACCAAGATCAAATCCCCGTGCCCTTGGCTCCTTAAGTATACCTTCCTATGGGATTCAGACAAGACTCCCTCCTAGACCCTGACGCACAGAACATCTGCCTTCCATCTTCCCTTGAGCCCAGCCTTTATGCAAGATACCGGCTATCTGGAAAATATTTAATCATCTGCAAAGACAAAGCACATGACAGACTTTTCAATGAGTAGTTACATATGCTTTCCCTTTCTTTTTCTTCTCTAAATCTAACCTCTCACTCCCACCTCAGCGTCTAGACAGTGCCTGGTATGTAGCAGGCACCATTTACCCAGTCTAGAAGTTCACAACAAACAGAAACGAATGCTCCTATTATATCACGAGCACTACATATATCAAGCCACCCCTTAAGGGGAGCAAAATCATCTCCTCTTACTGCAATTTAACTGCACAAACTATCACTGACGCCCCCTAATCAAAGTCAGTCTTAACCAACCTCCCCCACTTGGGGTCCAGGGTAAAGGGTTCCAGTGGTCAAGTGCCAAGAAAGGTGGGATGGGGAGAACAGACTTGAAAGTATTTGACCAAGGTCACACTTTGTTTGTCAGAGTCGGGGAGCTCTGAAAAGCCCCACACAATTTATTAGAAACACACACTCCAGGCAGGAGGCCTGGAGGCAGCTCTCCAGAAGCTGAGTCTCTGGAATTTCCAGGGCCCTGTTTTTATTTTGGGGAATCAGCAATGCAGCCCTCAACACACCTGCAATAACCTTCTCCAAGCCGCCAACTTTGGTGCGTTCCAGGAGGGTGGGGCCGGGGCTGTCTTGCGCTCCCCTCCCCCAGGACCTCACCCAGCATCTGATGTTGGAAAGGTTCTCCGTAAGGACCTGCGGAATTATGAAGAACTCACAGAAGGGCTAGCACAACCACGGGCTGACACACTGCAAGCTTTTGTTGAAAAGCTCATCAAACAGCTGACAAGTAAGGTAGCAGGCACTAGTCATCTTGGGCGGATAGAGATGCTGAGGTCCGGGAAGCTGAGCGCTGAGTCCCAGACCCGGGCGTTAAGTGCAGTCCTCACACTCTCAGTCTGCGGCTTCTTCCATGCTCCCCTTGCCATCCCCCCAGTAAATACCAGAACCTAACAAATGTGTCTCCCACCCACCTCTCCCAACCATGCCCAGCGCTGCGCTAACCACGTAGCAGATACTAAAAAAACAAAAACACATGCCAGCTTAATTCAAACTACCAAACAAAAAAGGTCTTGAGTTAAAAGCACAGGAGAAGGGCTTTCAAATCTCCCACGCCAGCGAGTGACCCTAAGCAGCTTGCCTACGTGGTCAGAGCCTCAGTTTCCTCATCCGTCAAGTCACAAGAATACCCACCCCTCAGAGCCCCTGAAAGAATGAATGAGACGGCTGTCCATAAATCTCCTAATAAAGTCGCAGCAGATGGTCTACAAATATGAGTGTCTTTTCCCACTCCTATTCCTGTTACTAAACCAGTATGGTTTTTACAAATCTTAATGTTCATAATTCCCCAGAAAATATAGGAAATTCCAGATGGTTCTGTTCAAGGTTACACAACTCACAGAACTGTCTGCAGATGTACAGAGTCGCCCACAAACTGAAATATGGCAGGACTCCCCCTCCAGGTAAGTGCAAAAGAGCTGCTGAGATGGGCCCACACACTCAGGAGTTCTGGGCCGCCATTTCCACTCCTTCCCCACTGCTTTGCTGCTATCTCTTGTGAACAGTTTAACCAAACAAAGGTGATGCCTTTCATGCCAAGAGCTGTGTAATGGTGCCACTGGCATGTATCTCCTTTCAAGGAAGGCCGTTACAAGGCCAGAGAATTTGGCCACAATCCTGCCTCATGCCTCAATCTTTAAATACTAGGACCGCAGCCCTCTGCAATTTGAGCAAAGAACATTTGGGACAATGAAGAGAAAGTCCCCCTTCTCAAGAAGTGTAAGAAACTAAATGGAAGTCATTCCCCCAAGACGGGGCAGGCAGAAAGTGGGGATGCAACTGAGAAGGCTGGGAGAGACTGGCCGGCTTCAGGCGCCACTGGGCTTCCCTAACCCCTCCTCCGGCACAGGAGTCCAGCTGCAGCCCAAGGCTCCCCGACAGAGGCTCTGCCATCCTTCCCCTACTGGACAGAGGATTCAAGGGACCCACAGAAAGCAGGAGGGAGGGGGCCGAGAGGGGACCCTGCCTGGGGAAAGGCCCACCGCTGAGCTCTCCCCAGAAGGCCACGGTGCCAAAACAGACCAACTAGTCACATCGCCAAATAGGAAATTCACTCTCAAGAAAACGCCCTGGGAGAAGACTGAAAAAGTAGGCAGAGTAGGAAGAAGTGGCCGGCAGAAAGATGCCCAGGAAATTTCAAACTTGAGGCATGGGGACCAGGCCCCCAGGCAGCTTCCCAACTGCACAGTCTGTCTCTACCTGAGAGGGGACCGCCGGTCAGGTTTAAGTTCCAGGGCGCTCGGAGCGGCCCGCGGGATGCGCAGTGCAGTGTCTAGGAAGGGGGTGGGGGGGGGCAGCGATGGGCAGGTTCACGGGTCTCTCATCCCAGACACACAGACAGCGAAGCCAGCGGTCGCCTCAGACCCGGCGGGCCACCGCTGGGACAGGCGCACAGCCACGGGCGCCCCCTCGGGCCGCGCGGCGCAGAAAGTTACTTACCTGGCGGGGGCGTCTCCGGAGCCAACTTCTCCGTCTTGGGAGCTTTCTTGGGCTTGGTCGCCTTCTTGGGCGGCCTGGGCTCGGACGCACGCAGCTTCCGCTCCTCCTCGCCGGGCCCCGCGGGCAGCGGCGGCGAGAAGGGCTCGGGCTCCAGGCGCGCGTAGTAAGGCTCCCGGCTCCAAATCTCTTGCACGTAGTAGTCGGGGTCCTCGACGGCTGCGCCCTGGGCCGCGGCCCCGGCCAGGGCCACCGCCAGCAGCGCGAGAGCCAGCGCCAGCGCGGCGGCCCCCCGGCGGGCCATGCCCGCTCCTCCCCGCGCCCGGGGCAGGGTCACGGTCGCCGGGAGCGCCGGGCGGGCGGCGGGCGCGGACAGCGGCGCAGGGCAGGGGCGCCGGCCTCAACAGAGGGGCGCACGGGACGCGGAGGCGGCCGGCCGGCGGCGCGTGTGACCCGCTCTCCGGGCTGGGCTGGGCTGGGCTGGATTGGGCTGGGCCGGGCC